AAGAGTGGCGCTATGTGTTTGTCTGTGTGTGTGTGTGTGTGTGTGTGTGCATGTCTGTGTGTGCGTGTCTGTCTGTGTCTGTGTGTGTGTCTCTGTGTGTGTGTGTGTGTGTGTGAGTGTAAATGGCTATAATGTGCCCTCGTGCTGAGGATGGCACAGTATGTATGTATGTATGTATGTATGTATGTTTGTATGTGTGTATGTATGTATGTATGTATGTATGTATGTATGTTGCAATGTGATTGTGGGTTGAGTACTCCCCCCACTTGTGCACAACTCTCCGTGTTTTCCCATTCCCCTGTGATTCTACCCCACTGTGCTCACGCTCTCTGCTCACCGTCTGTGCTCTATCCTAATGTGCTTTCCCCCATTTTACTTACTCCCCCTGTACTAACCGTCGAAGTTCACAACAACCCTTTGCTCAATCCCAATGTGCTCACCACCCGTATTCACGCCCTGGTGCTCCCCCCCTAGGCTCACCGACTGTGCTCATCCGCGGTGCTCGCACCCTGTGCTGCACACCATTGCTCTCAAAACCTGTGCTCACATCCTGTGCTCATCCTCAGTGCTCGATCCCTGCGACGCACACCATTGCTCTCAAAACTTGGGCTGACATCCTGTGCTCATCCTCAGTGCGCAATCCCTGTGTTCAGCCGCCACTGCTCATCGCCACTGTGCTCACCTAAACTGGTGCTCAACTCCACATCCCTAGGCTCACCTCGCTCACTTTCCTGAGCTTCTTCGCTGTACAAACCCTACCTCCTCTCACCCCTCTGGGATCAGCTTCTTCACTCCGATCCCAGTTCACCACTCGTGTGCTCACCCACCAGTGCGCTCTCCTCTGGGCTATCAGCCACTGTGCTTATTTGATTTCCTTTCTTCCCAAATACCAGCATCCAGTCTCTGCTTCATACAGAGCCCAACAGCATTGATACGTGTGACAGTTTGGGTAATAATAATCCCTCCAAAATAAAACAATAATAAATTGGTCATTTTCAATCTACGACTGTTTGTGGGACATCGCTGTGCGCCATTGGCTGCTGCGTTCGCCCACAAATAGACAGTCGATTCACTTTACAGTCTATTCTGTGAAGCGCTCTGGGACGTCCTCCCGACGTGAAAAGCGCTATATCAAATGCAAGGATGATCATTATTATTAATTATTATTATTATTATTATCCACTATGCAATCTGCCTGTTCTCACTTCCATGTTTGCTGCATCCCACTCTCTACTCAGAAACCTGTACTTAGCCCCTGTGCTCAATGTACCGCGGGCTGTGCTCACCTCCCTGGGCTGATCCCACTTTGCTGAGCACCTCACTTGCTCTCCCCGTCCCTTCTGTTCATATCACAGTGCTTGCCATCCCCTGTTCTAAGCTCCTTCCTTATGTTTAACCCCCGCACTGTGCTTAGCTCCCTGTGGTCACCCAGCTCCACATGTGCTCAGCCCCTTGTATTATTTCCCCTTTGCGTAGACCCTGTGTTCATCCGCCAAACCTCACCAAACCCCTCTTCTCACCCACCCACGCTTTACTCAGCCCCACCTCTTCAGCCCCTATTCTCAACCCCAGTCCTCAACAACCTGTTCTCACACCCCGCTATGTTTCACCAATTTTCCTGCTCAACCCCTCGACTGTGCTCCTGTGGGATAGAGTTCCAGAGCCTAGGCGCTCACAGCAACGTCCGTGCTTTTGTGAAGCGATCTCTCGTTAATCTGAAAATGAAATAATCATAGAATCAAGAATAATACAGCACAGGATATTTTTTTCCCATCGTGTTCGTGCCTGCTCTTTTAAAAGCGCTACGCAAATCAATTCCATTCCACCGCGCCCTTCGCATAGCCCTGCAAACTTGTCCTCCACAAATAATTAACTATTTCTCTCTTAAAAGTTTTATTCGAAACGGTTTCCACCCCCAGTTTAGTCAATGCAATCCAAATTTGCACAGCTCGCTGTGTGAAACAAATTCTCCTCACCTCTCCTCTGTTTCTTTCAACGTCTGTTATGAAACGGTGTCCTCGGGTTACCAACCCACATGGCAGTGGAAACAATTTCTCCTTGTTCAATACATAGAATCCTTCATAAGATTGAACAGTTCTCTTAGGTTTCCTCTTAAGCTTCTCTGCTCCAAGGAGTTTTATCTTAGCTTCTCCAGCCTTTGCTCATAACCGAAGTCCTTCACTCCTGGTACCATAATGGTACATCTATTTTGCACCCTTTCCATAGCCTTGACGTGCTTCCTGAAGTATTTTCGCCAGAACTGAACACTGTCTCTAGCTGAGGCCTAACCAATGTTTTATAAAGCTTCCTCATAATTTCCTGACTTGTATTCTATGCCCCTATTTATAAACCCTGGTCTCCTCTATCCTCTTTAACAGCTTTGTGTGCCTATGCAGCCGCTTTCAAATATTAATTATATGGCAATGCACCCACCAGATCTCTCCACCACTCCCTTTAAGATTGTACCACGTAGCTTACGTTATCTCTCATCTTTATCGAAAAACGCATCACTTCGCATTTCTCCTCGTTAAACTTCATCTGCACGTATCTGCCCATTTATCAGCCTGCCTTTCTCCTCTTACTTTCTGCTACTATCCTCCTCACCGTTTTCTTCTATTCCTATATTTGGAAAAAATCTTTTCACATAGAAAGAATTAAAAGATTTAACGTTGTATATGCGAACTGCAAAGAATCATTTGCTAGCGTTTAGGTCTGAAACTATTTGCAATTTGCTTGGAGCATGGAAAGACAAGTGGTTTAACCAAACCGTGCTGAGGTTTACATCCTACGCCACTTTACACCAATTCTTTACACCTTGATGTACCCCTCTAGTTCACTTTATGATATATCTTTCCCGTAAACTGCCCTTTACTCTCTGATTCAACTAAAACTTCAGGCAGCTTGTGATAGAATTTCTCTATGCTCTGCCTCAATGAGTTCCCCACAATTCAAAGCACTATAAATCACCATTCGGTGTGAAGAAGCTATGTAAATTTCGCTGTTGTGTACATTCCTAGACGCTCTCTTATATTTTTGTTTTGCTGTTATGAACTCAACGAGTGGAAGCAGTTGATTTCTATAAATGATATGAAACCTTGAACAGCTAAACATATCACTGGCGTAACCTATTAAGTATATTCAACAAAGGACAATTGCACAGATGTGAGAGAGAACCTCAGATGTTATCAAATGAGCAGCCGCGTTGTATGTCAATTGGTTTTCAGACTCGATATATCTTCGACGTGGTCTCAGTAACTTCATCTAATGATTAGCATAATGATACAAATCGAATCAGTTTTGATCCACCTCATCTGTAGCATTACTATAGCAACTTTCACGCGTGGAGAATGTGCCAAGACGCTGGACACAGTAAGGGATTTAGACTAGAAAAGGGGGTACGTATCTGAGCGGATGGAGACGAGGGACGTAGGACGATGGCTAGGTGAAAATGGAGTGTTTTGATACACGTAAAATAAGGCAAAAGATGGAGCGAGGCGAAGGGAATGTAATTATATTTCCATACGGTGAGGGCAGAAAGAGTGCATGCCCGCCCGCCTATGGTGGAGCGAGCTGGGCGGGCGACGTGGAAAAAGCCATTGCTTGTTAAGCAGATGGAGCGAACACGTTGACGTTGGATCGCGAGGTGGGGAGGGACAAGGCCGTGGACGGCCTTGAAGGCTAAGACAACGATTGTGAACTCTATCTTCTGGGGAAGGAGAGACAGTGGAACTGGGAGCGTTAGGGTCACAGAGCATAATAGGAGAGGACAGGAGCTGTTGCGGTCGGGATGATATGCAGCATGTGGAGGGGAGAATTGGGAAATCCGACAAGTAGGGAGTTTGCGTAGTCGAGCTCAACTGCCATGATTGAGGATTTTGGCGGCCTGATGTGTGTGACAGTGGCAGATCCGATTAAAGTTTCCGGACTGGCTCGCTGAGGTGAGTCCTCTTTTCTGATCTAACAAGTTAACTAAACAGTATCTAGTGTAAGTTTGGATCCATGTGGGAGAAGTGAACAGTGACCTTTAGGAAAATAAATAATAATCATAATTAGTAATAATAATACTTCCCTTTGATAGAGCGCTTTTCCCGTCCACGAGACGTCTCAAAGCACGTCACACCGTGTACTGTTAAGTGAGGAGATATGTATATATTTTGGCGAAACGTGGCAACCAGTTGCGCACAAGGGGTTGCGACAGAGTTCTGGATGATCTGCAGCTATGGAAGCTGGAGATGGGGAGGCCGACAAGCAATGCGTTTGCGTAGTCAAGCCTCGATATAATGAAAGCATGTGTGAGGATTTAGGCGGCCTCTGGAGTGAGAAAGTGGCAGAACCGGTCGATGTTGCGGAGGTGGGGGAAGGTGAAGCGGGTCATGGTGCAGTTGTACGGTAGATAGGATAGTTGAGGGTCAAACACGTTGCCATGGATCTGGACTGACTTAGGAAGGTTGAGTGTGCAGAATAGAAATGTTAGTGTCTCATGTTAAGTGTAGATATTGGCACGGACGCTTAGGGTTTACATGTTTACTTATTAAACAGCCTACGTTTCTGTTTGTCAGCTTCATCGAAATTATTATTCAAGTGCAAAAAAGTGGCCGACAGTTTGCAGGCCAGAACATGAGTAGAAACTCCCTTTTCTTCAGCAGTATCATAACCAGAACCGGACGATTCTTTCTGGGTTAAACATTTTAGCTGAAAGACAGCTTCTAACATTATAGTCCTTCCTTGCTTCCTCTCTCCATTTCTTTCCAGCTGTTTCATGCGTTCCTTTTGCTTCTTTCTCCATGACTCTTTATTTCTCACTCTTTCTCTCTTCTGTCTTTTATTACTTCCTTCCTTTCTTCCTCTGTCTCTTTATTCCCACCCAACACCACCCCAACCAGACTCCAACAACCACCCTTCGATATCTCGCTTTATTTGTTTCCTCCACTCGGCCACTCTGATTTCTTAGGTTGGCTTTGTGAATTACTGTATCGCTATGATGTTGCTGTGTTTTCAGATCTGTGCACAGACGCTTTGTATACCCTACGGATCGAAAAGTGAGGGTATCTCTGTGGGTGACACGGGAGCAGCGATGGAATATCTAAAGACATTACTCGCATCAGAGGCATTTTGCAAATGGTATGTATTAATTTAGTTAGTTGGTTAAACTTTAACAGCAATGGACATATGAAATAACAATGAAACCAAACCAGATTGTGATGGGTTTTATTGTAAAAGTTCCCTGCATTTTGTTAAAAATTTCTGACACAAGTACACGGTCAATGTACCCAATATTCCTTCCACATAGATGTCACTACGTCTAGGACGATCATTTCGTCCTACCCTCCTTAGAGATTACAGTTTCCATCCATCTATCACTAAATTAGGTGCCACAATTTTGAAAACACGTTGTCCAGCTGACATTGTCGGACAGTACTGACGCTATGTTGATTTGTTGTAGATGCCGTCTTTTGCATGAGATAACAAACCGATGTCCCATCTGTGTTTATTCAGCTGAACATGAAATATTCCATGGTAATGTTGGGAAATAGAAGAGGTTTTCTCTCCTAATGTCCTGAACATTAAAAATTGATCATACACTTTATGGCTGATTGTTGGAACGTGTGCAAATCACTGTGTGTAAACTAGCGGTAGGGCGTCACTACGGATTACAAGCTACATTTTACAATAAATCCAGCGAAGAGCTAAAGGTGTCTTGACGGTACGATAACGTGGTGTGTCAAATGCAAGAATAATTATATAATTCGACTGTGAATGAGATGATATTTAAAATGAGGATCATGTATTGTTAGATAGGAATTAGAGACCAGCCCAGCTCTGCCACAGTGAAGCGGCTGCCAAGATGGATAAAGGTGAAGAGGAGAAGATGTCTGAGAAGAAAGGTCCGGTCATTTTGATCAAGAACTCAGGCTATGGAAACCTGCAGGTGAATGATGAGGCGTTGAAGATCCTCTCACAGATAAACCAGCCTGTTGTGGTTGTGGCAATAATCGGATGGTACCGCACGAAAAATTCTTATCTGATGAACAATTTGGCTGGAGAGCTGACAGGTACCATGCAACTCACTGCCTGTTTCATACTTGTTAAGTAAGCCTAGATAGATTTTTTTTCGATAACCAAGTATGTTTTCGATGAATTGACATGTATGCTTCAGAAAAATTCCCGTCATCGAAAAGTAAAAACAAAACTCATGAAGCTCCCGTTACACAACAGACCGACGGACGGCGGCTCTACAGCGTGTACATTTGCAGTTACAAATTGTGCCTTGCCCCCTCCCGGTCGCTACCGACACACATAAGTGCAAAGCGCACACATTTCAACTACGCTCTTTAGTAACACCGCAACCGTGTCTCTGCAGCTTAAGCATGTGCATGCGTCTCATAAATCCTGTGAGGACAACATCTGGGGCCCTGGTGTATACTATTAACCCAAACCTTTCTTGTTTGAAGGGCCACAGCACCTCATTGAGGTGGGGGAACCAAGGTGTCCAATCCCAGTTTTCTGCCTATATCTACAGGGAGCAATTATAAGGTAGATGCGTCCCGGTTCCGACCTTCTTGATGTTCAGGATGGCAATTATTTACGGCATTGGGTGTTGCCCCTGTTAGAGGAGAGTCAGACAGACATGCAGAAAGGATGAGGCAGACAGATGCTACACAGTTAGATTTGCGTGTCATCCGCATACAGGTGAATGTTGACCGCATGTCGGCGGATGAGGCCACCAAGAAGGAGAATACAGATATTTAAGAGGAGGGGACCAAGGACAGAGCCCTGAGCAACGCCGCACTTTGTGCTGTACAACTTGCAAGCTCCTTGAGTTTAGAAGTTTGAGGCGTTATTTAATACAGGTATTAAGATGATCACGGATTCTATCGGGTAGCTAGATAAAAGTTATTTCCTCTGGTGGGTGAATCCAGAAGAAGGCTGCATATCCTTAAAGTTGGAACCAGGCCATTATAGAGTGAAATCAAGAAGAATGTCTTACTACAAAGGATACTAGAAATCAGGAATTCTCTCGCCGAAAAGGTTTAGGACGCTGGATCCATCCAAACATTCATGAGTGAAGTGACAGTTTTATGGTAGGTCAGGGTATTATGGAATATGGGGATAAAGCTTGAAAGTGGAATTGAATGGATTAGTTGAGGAACATATCAGCCATGATCTAGCTAAATGGCGTAACAGCCTCGGAGACCAGAATGGCCTTCTATTCCTCCTATGTTCCTGTGGTTGGAGGAACCTCATTGAGGTGGGGGCAAAAAGTTGTCCCCTGGCGGGCGTACTGCTGCCTTTATCTGCAGGGAGCAGTTACACTCGTGGGACAGTTCAGGCTCTGTCATCCTCTACATACCGGTTGGCGATCGTTTACAATTTTCCCTGTTGCTCCCTCCTTTCGGACGGACAGACAGACAGACAGACAGACAGACAGTCAGACAGACAGACAGACAGACAGGCAGACAGGCAGACAGACAGACAGACAGACAGACAGACACTCACATACAGACAGACAGACAGATAGACAGACATACAGACATTGACAGACAGAGAGACAGTGAGACTGAGAGACAGCCAGCCAGCCAGACAGACAGACAGACAGACAGACAGACAGACACACACACAGACAGACACACAGACAGACAGACAGACAGACAGACAGATAGACAGACGCTTCACGCAATTCACCGGTGAATCATAATCAGCCTTGCTTTTTAATGCAGCAACTTACCACCTATTCAATCCGTCTCAATGTGTTTGACAGAATATAATGCAACGTGAGTTGACTGTGTAACTTGTAGTTGAAACGTAGCATCCAATCACGCACAACAGTTTCCTACAATCAGGTGTGGATTTCGTGACTAATTTAATTTTATTATTATTAACATTTTTGAAGGAATCATTGGCTCAGATAAAGGAATCCGCCAATCGACGAGCAAACAGGTTATTGCCTACTTTTAGATAAACAAAAGTGTGTAGAATAAGGTAAGTTTTAGTAACATTTGGCTTGCCCCGTAAGGGAAACCAGATTCTCTCACTTGAGAGCCACGAACTAACCACCGAGCTGCAGGACAGATGTGAATCAGGAGTTACGTTTCAAAATTTTAATATTGGTGAGCACGCCATTCACCTCCAAATTAGACCTAATTAGATTCCAATATGTAACATGGGTTGCGTTCGCCGAAAACCCTTTGCACGCTCAAATTCTCTAGGATCCAAACTTTCCAAGGGAAACGTGGGCCTGAAGACTTTCTTTTTGGCCTTCTAAGCAAGACAGGTGACGGAATGTCCTCTCTGCCTCGGTAAGCGCGGCTTGAGACGGCTAAACAGGTGTTTAAGGGATCTCTGTATATCTGCTTCCTCCATTTGTGCCCAGATCAAACTTCCCAAGTGGAAAGACAACAATCCTGATCACAACCAACAAATAGCTGAAGTAATAGCTGTTGCTAGGAGCTCAAACCTTCCAATATTAACAATGAAATTATGGGTTAGATTTGATGGATATTGTATCACATTAAAATTTCAAGACCAGAACGTATCTGGCAGGTAGTGGCCCAAGGGTTAACTATTAGAACATATTTATTGTAAAAAAACAAAATATATATTTATTGGTAGATAAAGTATATATTTACGCTTGTCCCGAAGAAGAAGTTTACCGTGCCAGAAGACATAAAGAATCAGAAAACAACTGAAGATTTGTTCAGATCTCTGTTTTACCACACTTGGAGAACTGTGTACAGTGTTCTGATCAGCCTGTATCTTGGAGTACTTTTATAGCTCTGATCACTGCACCCTGGAGTAATAATAATAATAATAATAATCCTTGCATTTGATATAGCGCTTTTCACATCGGGAGGACGTCCCAAAGCGCTTCACAGAAGACACTGTAATGTGAATTGATTGTACATTTATGGGCGAACGCGGCAGCCAGTTGCGCACAGCAATGTCCTACAAACAGTCGTAGATTGAAAAATGACCAATTTTATTGTTGTTTTTGGTTTGTGGAGGGATTATTATTAGGCTCTGTCTGGAGGAAGGAAACTTGCCCAAGGTTTCGCCCTGCCAGGAATTGAACTCGGGTCTCTAGCTTGTAAAGCGAGAGCTCTAACCACTGAGCTACAGGACTTCAGTACGGTGTATAGCTCTGGTCACTTGAATTTTTTATGAGGTTCAGGCAAGCTCTGAGGAAATAAATTACCTTTTTTCATTCCGGAAAATCAGGCTTCTGTCTTGGATCAATTGTTCAGTCGGAGACCAAAGGAATCTGGATGTGGTGCATGCCTCACCCTGGGAACGACAACCAATGCCTGGTACTGCTGGACACTGAGGATCTGTGCGACATTGAGAATGTGAGTCATTTACATCTGGACCAATATCGGCAACCAAGAGAGTGACAAACAGAGCACCCGATAGTATGATTGAAATCAATAGCAACCGGGGCGCGGGATAGGAGGTGTATCGGTGAGTCGGTGCGGTGGTGGAAGGCGGGGTGATGGCAGGGTGGCGTGCGTGAGTGGTGTGGCGTAAGGGGCCAGAACTCGATAAATATTGACATAAGCAAGGAAAACACTAACGAATCGGGAATGATTTCATTAACATAAGGTGGGAATTATTAACTCAACTGAGAGCCACATTAATCTATTCAGAGAGGGAAGCAGTATATTACACAAATGGTGTAATATATTCCAGATTGCAATGGTTCGACATGTAAGGGATTTTCACACAATTAACAAGTAATCATAATCAAAGAAGATGAGTCTTTGAAAAGATTGACATGACAGAGAGGACAAAGACAGCAACAGAATCGAAACAACGAATAACAGAGAGAAAGAGAGAATTCAAGAATTCTGCAGATGACGGGAAGGAAATGTTTTTTCAACAAAAGCATTAGAAATTGATCATTAAAGGAAGAGATGGGCCATTACACACAGAACTCACCAGGATACGATCTATTCTGCCTGTCAACACCTACCGTCCCATAAGCTTTTCGATATTTTAAACTAGCACACAGAAATGATGTGAGTTTTGGCTGTTGGACCAGGCGGGATATTTTAAAAAAGCGTTTTCGCCCTTTGCGCAAATTGCTGATTTCACAAAGAGAGCGCAGACTGAAGTCAATGGCATATCCCCAGCGGAACATCTGGGCCTCTCACGCGTATTTACCCCAATTGCTGGTATTTATCGCTCGCCCACTGGCCTCGAATCGACTCTCGCGCCGGATTCTCACAGCAGTCCTGCGTCTCTTCTGTCAGCCAGTCTGGCTCACTATGCACTTGTCGCTGGCGTACACAACAACAACAAGATTCCATTTATAGAGCGCATTTCACGTCGAGAGAAGGTCCCAATATACACGCTCTGTTAAAGATTTATTATTGATGCTAAATAAGGTTTGAAATCATATTATCACAGTCTGTGTGTGTGATGGCTTTTCTTGTGATATGACAGAACATCTGTGGTATTTGTGTACAGGGCGATGGCCGGAATGACGGATGGATTTCAGCACTGGCTCTGCTCTTGAGCAGCACGCTGATCTACAACAGCACAGAAACCATCAACCAGTGGTCCATCGAGAAACTGCAGTATCCTTCATCCACTAACTATCGGAAAAAATCTGCGTCAGTTAACCATAGCATTATCAAATCGTTTCGTTTCAGCAGCCATTGTGTGGTCCCACCACATCCATCATGTGAATTTACTATTGAATTCCTCAGCGTATTAATACGCGGGAGAATGGGTTTAGCGATGTTAAGAGGCCGAGTTGGGTTCGACACTTCACATTATCACAGTTTGTGTGTGGCCACTACTGCGCTTCTGATGTTACAGAAGAACAGCACTATTTTGTGTCTCACTGTGCAGGAAGACGTCAAGAATGACCATGACCTTAACCTCTGTAACTGCCTGCCTCAATCCCGCTGCCTCTCTGTCTGCTTATTTGTCTGTACATCTCCGCTAAAGATCTATCTATGGTCTCCTCCCATTGCCCTGCTCCGTTGCTTGCCGTCCAACCTAACCACTGTGCAGCTCGCTGAGACGTGATCTTGTGTAAATGCACCTGTACTTCCACGTTTTGGACTAAACAACAAGTGGAAAGAGCCTTTTGATGTCCACCTTACCAAAGATTTGACAGTCTTAAACCACTCGATAAAGTCCATTTCAATCGTTTCTTTTCTGCAGAAAATCCTCCGACTGTCCATTCTCTAATGTTTGGATTATCTCCACATCAAGCTCTTGTAGCTTCAATTTGACAGAAAGCATTGCCGGTTGAATAAATGAGGAGCACTTTGATTGGAAATGAGTAACGTACTTGCAATGATACTTTGGTAGTGAGTGGACTGGGCAAAGCTGTAAACGATATCCAAATTGTGGTCTGAAAACAACGATACGCAGTACTCCAGGTATGACCAGGACAGAGCTCTACACGGTAATACAAATGTGACTGAACTACAGCAGTACACAGTACTCGCGGTGTGGGCTGCCCAAAACTGTACACATTACTCCAGATCAGAGCCGGCCAGAGTTGTACGAAGTAGTCAAGTTGTGGTCTGACCACAGCGTTGAACAGTGCTCCAGGTGTGCGCTCGCCATAGCCGCACACATTACTTCGGGTGTAATCTGATTAGAGTGGTCCACAGGAATCCAGGTGTGCCCAAGCCAGAGGAAAATTCTGAGTTAGAATGACACCTGGGTATCTAAACCCAACTGTCGAAGCATTATTACTCAACAACATGATTGACTTGTTTAGTCCCGCCTTCCGCTGTTTGACGAGTCAACTTACATTCTCTTTCAACTTCCCTTTTGGCGAGTTCACACCAGCCACCAGCATATGAACTCCTCACCCACTGGAATTATTTCCGCTCTGATTTACCCTCCTCGTTTACTTTGCTCCCAAACTCCCTCTCCATCACTATTGATGCCCTTGTCCTCTTCAACTCCTGAAATGCCAAATACTCATGAAACTTTCCATGATACTCCAGCCATATCCGCTCGCCCAGTGGTCAGGTGCGGGCCATTGAAACAACCTATCTCAAATCTCACCGAATGGTGCACCGGCAAATGTGGTTGGAATACATCAAAATATGCAGCTCCGACCTCGCCTCCTCCAAGTTATCTTTCAACTGCAATTTAATCTTTGTGCGAAATATAACCGTAGGCTTCTAATACCCAACACCAACCGTTTGCTTCGTCCACCCTCCTATGCCTCACCCATGCATTACCTGAGCCCTGACAATGAGCAGATTCTGGATTTCTTCTCGTCCAAATTCAAGGGGATCCATTCATCTGTCTACACACTCCCAACAGTCACATCCTCCACATCTTCCACCAACACCCCGCAGCCTCACTCCGAATCCTACCAAACCCTACATCCACATTTTCGAAACTATCGGGACCACCTCTATCATCAACAATATACGTAGCATGCAGCGCACTAGCTACTCATTTGACGCCATCCCTAACCCTCCACTTGCTACCCAGCTCCATCCACTCACGGCTCTAATCATCAGTCCCTCCCTTTGTCTGGTACCGTTCCCATCCCTCTGAAACAGCTGCAATCATACCCATCCTAAAAAACCTTCAGTGGACCCTCCCCGCATTCTAGCTACAGGCCCATCTCCAACTTTCTTTACTTTCGAAATTCTTTGAGAGTCGTTGCGTCCCAGCTTCGCTCATTCCCATCCTGCTACTCGCTACACTGCTCCTTCCAATCAGGTTACCATGCTGCTCACAGCACAGAATCTGCTCTGTTCAAGGTGACAGACGACATTTTGTGCATCTGTGATCGGTGTCTCTCTGTCTCCTCTTCAGGGCGACCTCTCTAATGCCTTCGATACCGAAGACCACTCCAGCCTTCTCCTCTCACCTCATACTGCAAGTTTCTGTGCTTGAATGTTTCAACACAAGCAACAACAAAATTACCTTTATAGAGCGCCTATAACGTCGGCAGGACGTCCCAAATGGCTGAACAGTCAGCTGTCTGGAAACCTGAATGGGGGAAGGGCAGGTTTAAGGTTGAGGGAGGGCAGAGAGGTGGAGAGCGATCAAAGGTACAATCGAAGAGAATGATCTTAGGTCCGGCTTTGAAAGAGGTAAAAGAGGAAGCGAAGCGAAGGGATCGAGGGATGGACTTCCGGAGTACGGGGGCCGAGAGGATGAAATTCGGTTACTGATGGCAGGGCGGGTCGATCGGAAGACATGCAACAGTCTGGAGCATGTTGAACGGAGGGAGCGGGTAATTTGGAAATCAGAAGGTCGGAGAGTTATGAGGGGGTCAAGGACATGGATGGATTTGAAAGTGAGGATCAGGATCTTGAATTTCATCCACTGGGAAATGGGAGGCCAATGGAGTCGGTGGAGGCTGGGAGTGATGGGGTCACAGAGCCTGGTGCGTGAGAGTGCACGAGCTGCAAAGTTTTGTTTGATCTGCAGTTTGTGAGGGGAAGAGTGTAGAAGGCCGATGAGGAGGGAGTTAATCGAGTCTTGATGTGACGAATGCGTAGGCCAGGGTTTCGGCAGCCTGAGGGGTGAGGCAGTGGCGGCGTTTGGCAATTTGGTGGTTGTAGACACTGCCGGTCGTGGCGCAGATGTTGGTGAGAAAGGACAGTCCAGGGTCAAACATGTTGTCAAAGGAATGGGGATGGGTTCCAAGGAGCAGGAGTTGGACTTCATCGAGGTTATGGTGGTGAAACCAGTGGAGGGGTTGACAGGTACAAAGGTGTGAAAGGAGGCATGAGTTAATGCCACATGGGTGATTTTGTGGGGTTGTCGTAGCGAAGGTGTGGAAGCCGGGAGGCCAGAAGCAGCTGAGCGGATTCCCTCGAATTTGGACTCGACGCATTCCGGCATTTTATCAGTTTCAGTTCTTATCTATCACTACGTCAACAATTTGTCCACGCCAATGGTTTCATTTCTAGCCCCCGAAGAATTTCGTTTCGTGCTCTTCATCGCTCTATGCTCGTTTCACTACTTTTCAATATCTACACGCTCCACTCCTTGCCCCATTAATCCCCTACATCGTTAACCACTTCCTATCATCTGGCACTCTTCCTTCACCCCTGAAAATAGCCATTATCTCCCCCAACTTGAAGAAACCTTCCCTTAACTGATCACAGCTCTCCAGCTACCGGACCATCTCAAACCTTCCTTTCCTATCCGAGATCCTTGAGAGAGCCGTTGCGTACCATATTCGCTCTTTCCTTGCCTCTCACACTCTCCATGAACACTATGCAATCGGATTTCGGTGCTGCCCACAGCATAGAAACTGCTCTGGTCAACGTCACCAACGATATCCTGACCATATTTATACAGGGCTGCCTCTGACTCCCCGTCTTCCTCGACCTCATGGAGTCAATATACGCTGATAAAACGCAACTCTATTCCTCTGCCTCCAAAATCGATTCCATAAAAACTGATAGTCTGACAGACTGTCGATCTGACATTCAGTCTTGGATGAGAGCCACATTTTTTAGCTAAATATCAGCAAGACTGATGCCATTCTGATTAGCTCGTGCCAGCGCCTCTGCACCTGAGGTAATGGCAGCATCAACCTCCACGGTTGCACTCTCCGCCACAGCAATATGTTTAGCAACCTGGGAGACTTGTTCGACGCTCAACTGTCTTTGATCCCTCATATATTTGTAAAGACCTGCTCTGCCTTCTCCTGCCTCCACAACAGTGCCCAAGTCATCCACGTCCTCACACTTCATGACGGAAAAGCCCTCATACACGCACCGTCACTTCAAAACTCGATTATGCAAATTTGCTCATTTTTGACATACCCAACACTTGCCTCCGCAAGCTGCAGATAATTCAGAAAACTGCAGCACGTATCCTCTTCACCACCAGGTTACTTGACCCCATTAACCCACCCTCGCCCGACTCCACTGACTCACCATCCCTCAGAGGATAGAATTGAAAATCAGCATTCTATCACCCTAACATTTAAGGCCCCTTACGGCCTTGCTCCCTCCTGCATTTCTGAACTGCTGAGCCCCTGTCTGTCCACGCTTCATCCGCTTAGCAGGCTCAGGCCTGCTCCCGGCCTCTTGCCCATTCCGCCTTAACATCCGCAGACGGGCTTTCACCTCATTCTCCCACGGTTTGAAATTCCAAGCCATAATCCTTCACCTTGCTCCATCTCTTGCTTCCTTAAAGCACGACTCCTTTCTTACCTTGCTTTCAGCAACCCTCCTAACCCCGCTGCCTTCCTTCATCCCAACGGTCCCCCACTTAACGCACCACCACACCTCAGGTCCTGATCTCTGAAGGTTCGGCTCCTTGGGACGTATTTCCTACATGAAAGGCGCTTTACAAATGTAATTTTGTTATTGTTCTTGGCGCTGTTCAATCCCACCCGTGGAGCACTTCATTTTTATACTCCCGGATCTTAGTTATGTTAAACTTCACTTGTCATGTGTAGACCTTAAAGGTGTTCTTTTTGTAGGTTATTTGTTTCTTCCTGGAGCTGCTTTCCTGAAAATCTTTCAGTCCTCTTTTGCCTATGCTTCCTTCACCGTGTCTCAGCAAATTCATCGAATTGACCGAGGTCATTAAAGGCAAGTCGTCAAATGGGAAGTATGATCCCTCCCAGTTTGACAACGTCATCCCGGGTTTCGTTTGGACAGTTTTGGACTTCAATTTGAAACTGGAAATAAATGGGACTCCCGTGACTGCGGATGAATATTTGGAGTACGTTCTGAGATTGAAGCCGGGTAAGCAGTCAAAGAGGTATGGTTGGATGTGGCCATAGAACTCCAGTGCAGTTCTATGGGAAGGCATGCAATCCCACAATGCAGCGCTCCCTCAAGAATTCGCTGCAATGTAAATTGGACGTAAAATCGCTGCTGTAAAATTTGAACAATCCCACAATGCAACGCTCTACCTGATGTGGCGCTGGAACATTCCAACTCAGAGGCAAAACTGCTACCAAGTGAGCCAGACTGACTCAGGTTGAGGCTAACCTCTCACTGATTGGTGCTTCAAAGAAACGAGCCAACTGGCTCATCAAGATTAATCTGGAGCGTTCATCTTTCCACAATTCGCTCTCCTGTACCCATCTATTCCGCTCTGCCTCAGGTGTGCATTATATGATTTACTAGATAAGTTCATAGTTTCTGTTAAAGCCACACGTTCCGAAAGAGCAGTTCAACATTCTCACCATCTTATTTGTGAAGACGGCCCTCACAGACCAGCTATCAGATCTGCTGCTAGCAAACATATTTTATCCCACTCGTTTTGGGCATAGTCTAATTCATCCTCTGACCGTAGAAAATGCAAGGATTCATTATTTATCTATAGGCACCTTGTCAAATAATTTCACAAATTTAAATACCTCAATCAGGTCTCCGCTCACTCATGTCATCTCCAGAATATAATGCGTAGGCTTGACCAGGCTTTCCTGTTCGCCATATTCTCACATCCATGACAACATCTTAATAAATAGATCATATCTGAGAGGGATCTTTCTGCTTCCCCCAGATGTCAGCAAGAGAAACATCGAGCACAACCTTCCAAGAGAACGCATCATGAGTTACTTCCCCAATCGAAAATGCTTTGTGATGAACCCTGCCTCCAAGAAGCTCACCAGGACATTTCTGGATTATATGTACAGGATGGCACAGACAAAGAGAGACATACACGGCCGTGAAGTGACCGGGAAAAGTAAGTTTTATAAACTCTCAGATTTATATTCAAGATCCTCGGGCTAGTTGAAGAAATACTGGAGTCTTTTCTGATTTCAAAGTTATTGTGGAGTATACATTTGTTTCTCCAGATAATGACCCATGTGTTATAAGCTCACCCTGAGCTCTGCACCATGATTGCCTTGGAGTGAAGCTGGGTGACATTCATGCATGGCGCTGCCATGAGCTGCCGGCCTTCGTAATACAGCCAAGCAATAAAGCTTTGCCTCAGCCAAGGTGGACTTCAAATTTTATTTCACAAAATCAATTTGCCTTGCCAGTCACAAGCTTGTAAAGTCAGAGCCAACGTAGGAAATAGTTACGAAGTTCATCTGTAACCGCAGAGAAAGGGGTCAAATCTGAGAGGCATGCGCCTCCACTGGCTCCCCATCCCCCAGAGGATCGAATTCAAGATCCTCATTCTCACCTACAAGGCCATTCACGGCCTTACTCCCTCCTACTTTTCCGACCTACTAACCCACTGCTCAGCTGCCCGAAACCTCCGTTCTTTTGGCTCCAGTCTGCTCCAAACCCCCGCAATAACTGACCTACCATCGGTGGCCGGGCCTTCAGCCTCTCAGCCCCAAGGCTCTGGAACTCCATCCCTCAGTGCCTTCGCCTTGATTCTTCTCTTTCGTCCTTCAAGGCCGGTCTCAAGACTTTTTTCTTCAACCGTCCCCTCAGCTCCCCGCTCGACTCTCCAACGACTCGTCGCTCACGTCCTTCCCTCGCCTCACACTGATCGTTTCCCCCCTGCTCTGGACCCATCTGTCCAGCGCCTTGGAACGTCCTCTCGACGTGAAAGGCGCTCTATAAATTAAATCTTGTTGTTGTTGTTGTGATCAAACTTTGACAAAAACTGAGGACACATGGTCAAGCTGAATGATTTGGAAAGATATTTCCACATAATACTGTGGAAAAACTCGAGCGTCACTGCTTCAAGATCAATATAATTAATGTGAGTGAGAGTGATTGAAAAGTGCAGGAGGTATTGCTTCATGAAAGGCAGGTGGAAGTGTAGTACATAAGGCAAACACAGGCAGAGGAATATAAAAGTGTGAAGGTGTTCAGATAGATGTGTGGACTTCAGGAGCTAAGTGGTTAGAGCAATCGTCCCGCACTCGAGGGACCATGGTTCGATTCCCGGCACGGTGAAATGTTGGTCAAGTTGTCCTACGACACCTGCGTAAGTAGGAACCTGCATATAATCTGACAGTCACAGATGGGAAAAAAATAAACTAGAGAGTTCCAGTGGAGAACGAGAACCAGCAGAGTACATTAGGCAAAGATCGGATTTGAGGAGGGGATTTTAGTACTTGTCGGAATATCAGCAAATATTTATTGGGAAAGGGCAGGGAACGAGATAAGAGAACGTTAGCCTAATCCAGCAGATACATGATGGCGAGTGATAAAGGAGCGAATGATCTTCTATGCTGTAATCTCTAAAATCTCTCGTTACTTCCAGTGTTGGCTCCGATGGTGACCACCTATGTGACGATGATCGACAGTGTGCGGGTGCCGTGTCTTGAGAATGCAGTAACAACAATATCTCAGATTGAAAACACGGCTGCAGGGAGGGAAGCATTGGAATTTTACAAGGAAGCGATGAGTGAAGTAAAGCCACCGATACAATCTTTGGATGCGTTATCCACAGTGCACGAGCGGTGCCGGTCTGAAGCTCTCCAGGTGTTTCTGAAACGAAGTTTCAAGGATGAAGGTGACAAGTATCAGGCGGAACTAGAGGTGACATAACTTGATTATAGTGCAAACAAACGGTGGGCTTCACATTAGAGCAGGATGTCTCACCTTGCAGCACTCTCACCTATGATTCAGAAACCTGGGCTGGAGAAACTCGATTCTGTTTGCAAATATTGCCAGAGGATTTTTAATATCCACCTAAACAGAAAGTTGGCATCTCAATTTGCTCATGTAATCTTTAAAGCTCCCGCAGCTCTATTCAAAGAGAGAAGGGGGGTTCACTCTCACAACATCCTGGGTAAAAGTTCCCCCAGATAAAATTTGGTTACTCATTCAATGGTTGAAGTGAGTGAAACGTGAATAAGTGCAATTTCACTGCTGCATAGCCCCATAAAACGCACAGTCACAAATCTTGCATGATGTCCGTGAAGCGCTTTGGGACATCCTTTCCATTGAAAGGTTCTGTACCAAATTCAAGAATGATTATTATATTCAAGCCGCTATTTTTAATCTTATTATTCGATCACCTTGCTTTACGCATTATTCTACCCGCTTTTCCTACAATAAATTTAATTTATATAACACCCACTCTCTGTTCTTCACCTTTAATATCCCTCTGATTTGGCCTACATGTATTCTTTAGACAGAGCCTGGATGTAGTGTCTCAAGGACCTTAATTGTTTTTCCAGGTCATTAACACTCATAAACCATGGAATATTTTTTATATTTTTAGAGAAATATGGCCACGCTCTATGAGATTTTCCAGAAAAAGTTTGAGCTTTCTGAACGTGATCTGCTGGAGCTGCTTGAGCCCATAGAGAAAAGAATCATGGGAGCAGCATGCAACAGACCGGGAGGATATGCTGAGTTTGAGAATGATAAGGATGCACTGATCAGCAAACATCACAAGAATCCTGGAAAAGGACTCCAGGTCCGTCTTTATTTTTCTTTAGGGGGCTTGCACGATAGTTATGAAGTGAGAGTGGGGTTGGGAAGAGGATGGGATGAAGTTAATTGCTAAAAGATCACACGCCGATTGTGGAATCGATGAGGAAGACGACATGAAAACAGAGCTAACCGAAAGGTGGGAACGGCTTGGTCGGTAGCTATGCAGAGTTCGTTTGGAGGTGAGACCGTTTAGGGATTTCACTACAAAGGACAATGATCATGAATTTGATTTTCTGGAATCAAAATCACAGATCCTCACCGGCTCCACAGGTCCCAAATTGAGAGGGGATATAAGCTGTAGAGATCTAGATGGTCCGCAATTTGTGAAGAGAATAGCTCAGAGCCAAACAAGCGGACGGTAGGAATAATCAGTCATATGCCTGATAAATTCGAGGAAGAATGCTCTTTTTGGTTGAGGTGAGGCAGGGAGGACTGCACTTATGGGGAAAGCTGAATGTGTCAGATAATTATTACAAGTACTCCACCTATTCGTGAGCGTTGAGTATCACTGATGGATTGTGTAACCCTACCCCAGGCAAAAGACACTCACCAGGAGTTCCCGAAAAACAAGGAGCAGCATCAGATTGTCCAGCAAACTTCCATCACTTTGTCTGGGAAAGAAACGGCGCTCAGAGGTTCGTGATATCGGGCATCACAGTGGCTTGTTCAGAATGGTACAACACAGAGAAATTGGCATCTAAAATGTAAACTTAAATTAATTACATTTGTAGAGCGTCTTCCATACCGGGTGGACGTCACAACGCGCTGGATAATCAGGGATATGAATTCGAGCTGGATGTAGGAATCAAGAAGTTGGGAAGATAGACATAGTAAGTTGACCAGCGAGGGTAGAGGTTGACCAAAAGCGCGGTGAATGAGAATGAGCTTCAGATGTACCTTGAAGGAACAAATTTAGGGAGACAGACGGAGGAATTGTCGGATCGAAATCCAAAGAGTAGTAGGCAGAGTGTCTGAAAAACTAACCATCGATGGAGGGAGGAGGAGCAGGCCGGAGATGTGACATATGTGAGGTGATAGGTGAGGATTACCACTTCCCAAAAAATGGGATTCAAATCAGCCACTGATTATCAAATGGAGGAAAGAAACTTGCGAAACGTTTCGCCCTGCGCAAAAATCGAACCCAGTTTCTTTAGTTTATGAGGTGAGTGTTCTATCCAACACAACAGAGAACTTGCAGATTAGTGTGAGGATCTTGAAGTCAATTCACTCTGTGATGGGAACCAATGGATACTGGCGAGCATGGGTTCATTGCGGTAGGAAGATTAGTCCTACTGTATTATGAGTATGACTAACAAATGGGACAAATTATTGCTTTTGCGGGAGCAAGCATGAAAGCAGTGAGATGAATGGCCTTCTTCTGTGCCGTAAATTTATATAGCAATATGGTTCAGAAGACACAGAAAATTTGAGTACCAGAGGAAACAACAACATGGTTTATTTAGATAGCGCCCTCTACATCGGACGGCATCTCAGAGCGCTTCACAGAAAACGATCCCGGTATTGAACCAGGGGGAGGGTGAAGAATGTGTCCAAAGGAGCAGTCGAAATGAAAGGTGTTCAGCCGAGACCTGCTAATAGAAGAGAGGGGTTGATGCGAATGGAGTGAGGAAGGGAGCCCCAGAGCCTCGGGGCGTAGTGGCTGAAGGAACGGCCGCCAATGGTGGAGCTGAGGTTACGAGGTACAAGCAAGAGGACAAACCCGGTGGAACCAGGGCAACGGGCACTGTTGTAAGGAGAGAGGACAGATGAGAGGTAGTGGGTTGCATAGTAATGGAGGGATTTGAAGACAAGAGCGAAGACATTCAAGTCGATCTTCTCTGGGACAGGCAGCCGTTGCAGTCTGGTAAGGTCTGGGGTAATCTGGGAGCAGAGTAATGTTGAGAAACAAAGAGATTGCTTGATATAATCTCAGACAACCAGAGACGTAACAGATTCTATCAAATGATCCTACACCCTGCATTTGCCATCACTCCTATTCCTCGCCTTTCATTAAAACAAACGGCTGTACCCAATACACCAGGTGTGGTGTGCCAGAACTCTACAGATTCAGAGTGATACGTGTGGCTATGAAAGTTATGAAGTGGTGTTTGCCGGTCTCCTGTCTGACAGGTGGTCGCTGACTCACACTGCTGTGAAACTGATATCCACGCTGACTTCGCCTTTGTTCAACAGCCGAACCCAAGGAACCAGAACTGATGAAGGAAACTAGGGAAGAGGAATCTATTGCTCACCAGCTACTGACTGCAGAGCAGCGTTTGAGAGAGGAAAAGATCCAACATTTGGAAATGTCTCTAGACGAACAGAATAAGAAGAGAGTGGAGGAGCAGAAAGCATTGGCAAGTGAATTACAGGAGCAGCAACGTTTCCTGAGAGCAGAGAAAGATAAGACTGCAGCGATGCAGCGGCAGATGGAAGGTGAGTCTTGCATTGGAGACGAGTCAAGTGGATTGTGTTAATTAGGTTGCAGCGTGATTGAGCTCACTGGAGGCCTTAGGCCTTGGCTTATGAATCGAATCAATATGTTGTGCCGAGGGAAGTTCTTAATTTCATTCAATTCATAGTAAAAACATGACATTTGTATAGCGCCTTTCTAGTCGAGAGAATGTCCCCGTCGCTGGACAGTCAGGAATTTGTAATTTAGCTGAGAATCGGAATCGAGGAGGGCTTAGCGCCCAAACCAGCAACAAAAATATCTATTACCGGAGAGTAGGAGATAGAGACAGAAAACTCTCTGTCACTGTCTAAGACAAGCAGAGAAAAAGTCGACATTTTCTAGCACAAGATCAGATACACTCATCTTTCCCTGTAATGCCTGCTCTTTCATCACAAAACAGAGTTAGATACAATGCATATCTTTACAATCCTCTCACCATTCCTCCATTTTCCCACTGTTTCCTTAAAATACAGACCTGTACATAACAATCAAGATATCGTCTGAACAGATTGAGGAGCAACACAAATCCAATGCTAATAAACTGCAGGAGCAGGAAGATTCATTGAGAAAAGAGTTCCAGAAGGAAATTGCAGAATTGGAGAATCAGAAGGAAGGTGAGGGCTAACAGGATATCATGCCCCTTGAAGAGGTTAATACAAGTTGCTGATGAATTGAGATTAACGGCCCCTGACCTTGTCTTATCATTTGATCAATTATTTTGTGCCGAGAGAAAGGTGTATTTCATTCATTTGTACAGGGAAGAAACATACAGGAAAATGTAAAGTTGAAGAAACGGAAAATTAAAGATAGAGACAAGCGAATCTATATTCGTTTGGGTCCAAAAGTATGTGGACGAAAGGATGTAGCCCCTGATACCTCCAGTGCCTTTCTCCTACAATCGAATTCCTGCCTTTTCATATCAGCACAGAGGTATAGATAGTATTCAAGCTGAAGTCTGAACAGAGCTGCACACAGATCCCCATGAGTTGCCTTACCATAACTTTACAAATTACTCCCGGTCTGGTCTGACCTGAGTTGCCCAGAGTACTCCAGGTGTGTGACCAGATCTTTACACATTTCTTCAGTTATTGCGTGAGAGCGTTGTAAACCGTAATCCAAACTCCGGAATGTCGCCAGACGACGGCACTACCTCACCCCTCACGCTGCTGAAATTCTGGTCCAGGCCTTTATAACCTCAAGGCTGGACTATGGGAACTCTCTCCTCTCCGGCCTTCCCGCCACCTCCCTCCACAAGCTGCAGGTCATTCAGAACTCTGCAGCTCGTATACTGTCCCGCACCAGGCTTCGGGACCACATCACTCCCACCCTCGCTCGCCTCCACTGGCTCCCCATCACCCAGAGGATCGATTTCAGGATCCTCATCCTCACCGACAAGGCCATTCACGGCCTTGCTCCCTCCTACTTCTAAGACCTACTATCCCCCTACCTATCTGCCCGTACACTTCGTTCCTCTGGCTCCGGTCTGCTCCACATCCACCGCACCAACCGCCCTACCATCGACGGCCGAGCCTTCAGCCTCTCAGCCCCTTGGCTCTGGAACTCTATCCTCCAGTGCCTTCGCCTTGACTCCTCCCTATCCTCCTTCAAGGCTGGTCTCAAGACCGTTCTCTTTGACCGTGCCTTCAGATCCCCTCTCGACTCTCTAACCACTCCTCGCTCCCTCCCTTCCCTAACATCACCCTGACCATTTGCCCCAGCTCGGGTCCTGACCCTACTTTACAGCGCCTTGGAACGTCCTCCCGACGTGAAAGTCGCTCTATAAATGGAATCTTGGTGTTGTTGTTGATGATGTGAAGAGCTGTGTACATTACTCCAATTGTGGTATGACAGAACTGTACAGGTTATCGCTGATATTTTGGGCACTGAGCTTTGTGATGCCACATAGTGCATCCTGCTAATCTGAACTGGTGTTCGCTGCCTCACACTGTTTGAACACTGTTAGACACATTCACATTCCCCTTTTCCACCATTACCAGCTCAACTCAAGAGAATAGAACTGATGGAGAGCGCGAGGAAGGAGGATTCTCAGGCTTACCAACAGTTTATTCAGGAGAAGCGTCTGAGTGAGGAAAATATCCGTCTCCTGGGAGTGGCTCCGGAGGATGAGACGGAGAAGTTGCTGGAAGACAAGGGAGCCATGGATCGTAGACTGCAGAAGCAACAGCGTTCTCAGAGTCAAGAGTTCCAGGAGAATTCCGCAGGAAAGGAGCTTCAGATTAAAGGTGTGGCCTGTGTGTTGGGAGGAGGCCTGTATGGGAGGTCAGGGTTGTGGCATGCGTCGCGGCTGTGCGGTTGCTCGGAGCTGTGGGGGAGGTCGGGGCTGTGTGGGAAGACAGGGTGGAAGGAGAGCTGAGGCCTCTGGATGCATAACATGAGGAGGTAAAAATATTGACCAACAGTGGCAAATATTTAAGGGTGTAGTGCAAATTTCTCAGCGGTCGCATATTCCCCTGCGGAATAAGAGCATCGCAGTGAAACAATTTATCCGTAGCTAACTAGAGCAGTTAGAAAAGCATCAAATTAAAAGAAAAGGTTCACAAAACTGCCAAGAAAAGCGGCAAATTTGAAAATTGGGAGAGTTTTAGAAACCAGCAAAATAAAACTAAAAATCTCATTAAGAGCGAGAAGAAGTGTGAGGAAGGAGCTAGATAGGAACATTAAGTCTGACTGTTAAAATTTTTACAGATATATTAAGAGGAATAGGCTAGTGAGGGTAAATGTAGGGCTATTCAGTCAGAGACTGGGTAAGTTGTAATGGGGGACAAGGACATGGCAGAGTCCCTAAATGGGTACTTTGCATCTATCTTCTCCCTAGAAGACATACCAAGTCTGCCAACAATAGAGATGCATCAAAGGGATAAGTACAGCGAGCAACTGAGCGAAATTTTCATTCGTAGAGAATTGGTGCTAGGGAAACTGTTAGCACTGAAAAGTGACGAATCCCCTGGTCCGGATGGCTTCCCTCCCAGGGTATTAAAATAGGTATCTTATGAGATAGTGGAGGCCTTATGTTTGATCTTCGAAAATTGCTTAGATTCTGGAACAGCTCCCATGGATTGGAAGATCGCCAATGTCACACCACTATTTAAAAAAAGGTGGAAACGAAAAGATGGGGAACTATAGGCCAGTTCGTCTCACATCACTGATAGGAAAAAAATAGAATCACTGATTAAGGACGTAGCAGTGCGGTATTTAATGGAGCACAATATGATTAGGCCAAGTCAACATTACTTTACAAAAGCCAAGTCATGTTTGACAAATCTCTTGGAATTTTTGAGGATACTTCCAGTAAAAAGATGAGGATGAATCAGTGGATGTGGTCCATTTGGACTTCCAGAAGGCATTCGATAAGGTGCCGCATAAAAGGTTCTTCCAAAAGTTAAGGGCACATGGAATTGGGGGGATCATATTAACGTTGATTGGTGAATGGTTAACAGGTAGGATACAAAGAGAAGGGATAAACGGGTCCTTTTCAGATTGGCGGGATGTGAATAGTGGAATGCCACTAGGATCAGTCCTTGGGCCTCATCTACTTACCATTTACATCAACGATCTTGATGAGGACATCGAAGTTAATATATCTAAATTCTCGGATGACACAAAACTAGGAGGAAGTGTCAACAAAGAGGACGACATTAAAAAATGCAGCGAGACATAGATAGGTTAGGTGATTGGGCAGGTGGGTTGCAGATGAAGTATAACGTACGAAAGTGCGAAGTCATCGACCTTGGTAGCAAAAACAGCAGAGCGGGTTATTTTTTAGAACGGGAGAGATTGGAATGTGTTAGCCTCCAAGGGGATTTGGGTGTCCTTGTACACAAATCACAGAAAGTTAGTCTGCAGGTGCAGCAAGCAATGAGGAAAGCGAACGGTACATTACCATTCATTAATAAAGGATTAGAGTCTAAGGGTAGGGAAGTCTTGCTGCACTGTACAGGGCCCTAGTGAGACCACACCTGGAATATTGTGTCCAGTTTCGGTCTCCTCATTTAAGGAAGGATGTACTTGCCCTGGAGGGGGTGCCGCGTAGATTTACTAGATTAGTACCAGTGATGAAGTGGTTGAGTTATGAGGACAAGCTGACCAATTTGGGCCTATATTCTCAAGAATATAGAAGAATTAAAGAGGATCTTATGGAAACCCATAAGATCATCAAAGGGCATGGTAGCGTAGATAGTGCGTGATTGTTTACCTTGGTTGTAGAATTAAAAGCAGGGGTCACAATCTTAAAATCAGAGGCCAGCCCTTTCGCACTGAGTTGAGGAAGAACTTCTTCACTCAAGGGGTGGTGAATGTATGGAACTCACAAACCCAAAGGGCTGTTGACGCTCAGTTCTTGAACATATTCAAGACTGAAATAAATAGATTTCTTATTGCAAAAGGTATTAAGGGATATGGGGATAAGGCAGGGTCAGGTTCGATTAGAAGTTCAGCCATGATTGAATGGCGGGGCAGGCTCGAAGTGGCGAATGGCACATGATCCATCTCCGCTACCACCCCCATCTAACCATCTAACCAGATTTGTGCAAATTAATCCATCCTATTTTAACGAGAGCTGTACGCAGTACTCCAGATGTGTTCTGACCAGTGCTGTATGCAGTACACCAGGATTGGTGACACAAAGCTGTACTCTTTGAGGGTGAAGTCTGGAGCTCTCAACGTTGCGCTTTGATGATTCCAGCCTCCTGTGTGACTAACGTCCACTGCTGTACAAGTTTTGGTCACCAATACAATCACGTGACACCCCTTTCTGTCCCGTTTAAGCCCTACAGGAAAGGATCAACCTGCTGGTGAGACAGAGCGAGGATGGTTCTGAGGTCCACCAACAGCTGATTGAGGAGAAGCGTCTGAGAGAAGAAAAGATCCGACACTTGGAAGTGACACTGGATGAAGAAAGGAAGAATTCACGGGAGAACCATGAAGCAATGGCTGGCAAACTGCAGGAACAAAAACGTTCATTGAGACAAGAGTTCCAAGAGAAGTCTGCGGCAATGCAACAGGAAATCAGAGGTGAGTCCTGTAGGGAAAATGAAGCCTGGGGCCATTTGAAACCCATATATGCGATGATGCCTGTGGGAGTGTGTGGGGAGGAGGGTTATGTGGGCGGTGGGGCGGTCGGGAGGGGGGGTGGGGGTTAGGCCTGTGAGAGAGGTCATTTCTGTGGGCGAAATTAAGTCTGTTGCGGAGGGTATTTTTCAGGGTCATCCAGCTGGCTGTCATTTCGTCTTATTTCATTGCTTAATAATCTGTATCATGCCTGGCGACAAATGTGTTTCATTTGTAAATGTAGGAGTGTCACAGACAGCAAAAATAATGGTGCTAAGAGAGAAGGTTGGAAAAAATAGAAACAATTCCGTCCCATTCTGACCTGCTGGCACCCCTACCATCCTGCCTGCACTGTTCATTCACCCAGCACATAGCACAGAAATGACACTGGTTAAGGCCGCAAATGATATCTGTGACCTAGACTACTTCTGCCTCCACGTCATCCTCTTCTTCTGCTGCCTTCGACACCGTGCACCAATAAATCCTCCTCCACAACCTCGCCTCCCATCTGAAACTACAACATTCTGTAGCTGAATCGACTGGGTTTTAACTTCCATATCGTCTCCAATTTTTCTAGGGTAACAGTTATTCTTCCAGCCCCCGCACATCCTCCTGTGATTTTCTTCAGGTTTCTGTTCTCAGTTCCCTCCTCTTTAGCTTCCAAATAACCCCCTTGGTGACATCAGCCGCAGACAAGTTGTCAACTTCCACATGTGTGGGGATGACAACGAAATCTTTCTGACATAATGTCCTGGATGAGAGGCAACTTTCCACAGCTGAAGGTCAGCAAGACCGAGGGAGTCCAGATTGGTGCGCGCTGCGTCTCCGCCACTCGGATACTGGCAGCATCAGCGTGCATTAATGTAGACTTCATCTCGCAACGACAGTCTGGAAACTGGTTATCTTTTTCGATCAACAAATCTCGTTTCTCTTCCATATCCTTGTCAAGACTCGTTCTGCTTTCTCCCACCTCCGCAGCAATGCCCGACTACGCAACTTCCTTAACCATTAGGCCACTGATACCGAACTGCACGCTTCCGTCACCTCAAGGCACCACTGCAGCAACTCCATACTTTTTGGCCTCCTCAATTATTCGCTCCACAACCAGCAGATTATCTAGAGACAGCCGCTCCAGTCTTCTACCGCACCCAACTCCTTCACCCCATCATGCCGAGCATCGACCGGCACCAAAAGCTTCCCGTACTTCAGATAATTGACTTCAAAATGCTCGGGCTTATATTCTTTTCCCTCCCTGGTCTTGCGCCATCCTACCTTTCTGAAATGCTGACACCCTGACAAACTGATTAGGCTCAGCTTTCAGCCTTCTCCGGCCTGCTTCATGTCTCCCACCTGAGCGACGCACTCATCGCTGGCGGAAGATGTAGCCTCTTCGCCCCCAAATTTGGCACTATCCCACGGTCTCTTTTAATTGCTCTTCCCCTTACCTCGTTCAAGGCAACGCATGAATGAAGACACATCGTACCTTCAGCTGCCCTCTTGCAATTCTGCCCTTTCTCATCCAAACTCTCCGATTCCAAGCTCGGAACCTGATCCATAATTTTTTGGCATCTATTGACGTAATTCGGACGTGAAAGGCGCTTTTCAAGTGGAATTTTGTTGTTCTTGTTCACAGTTTACAGAGCGTATATAACTGTGCCTGCCAAATGCTCCATCACAATCCTCTCCATCATCTGCACTTTTTATCAGAATAGTGCTGCAAATATTAATGCAGATGTGTCTGACCAGATTTGTTCACATTACCCCATATGCATTTTAGCGAGAGCTGTACGCACTACTCCAGATGTCTTTGACCAGTGTTGTACGCAGTACACCAGGATTGCTGACACAAAGATGTACTGATTATGGGTGAAGTCTGGAGCTCTCAACGTTGCGCTTTGATGATTCCAGCCTCCTGTGTGACTAACGTCCACTGCTGTACAAGTTTTGGTCACCAACACAATCACGTGACACCCCTTGTTGTCCCGTTTAAGCCCTACAGGAAAGGATCAACCAGCTGGTGAGACAGAGCGAGGATGATTCTGAGGTCCACCAACAGCTGAATGAGGAGAAGCGTCTGAGAGAAGAAAAGATCCGACACTTGGAAGTGACACTGGATGAAGAAAGGAAGAATTCACGGGACAACCATGAAGCAATGGCTCGTAAACTACAGGAACAAAAACGTTCATTGAGACAAGAGTTCCAAGAGAAGTCTGCGGCAATGAAGCAGGAAATCAAAGGTGGGTCCTGTGGGGAAAATGAAGCCTGGGGCCAGTTGAATCCGATATATGCGGTGATGCCTGTCGGTGTGTGTGGGGAGGAGGGGTGTGTGGCGGGGTGGAAGGGGGGGGGGGGGGGGGTCAGCCTGTGAGGGAGGTCATTTCTGTGGGCGAGATTAAATCCGTTGCGGAGAGTATTTTACAGGGTCATCCAGCTGGCTGTCATTTCATCTTATTTCATTGCTTAGTAATCTGTATCATGCCTAGCGAAAAATGTGTTTCATTTGTAAATGTAGGAAGGTCACAGTCAGCAAAAAATGATGGTGATCAGAGAGAAGGTTGGAAAAAATAGAAACAATTCCGTCCCCTTCTGACCTGCTGGCACCCCTACCATCCTGCCTGCACTGTTCATTCGCCCAGCACGTAGCACAGAAATTACACTGGTTAAGGCCACAAATGATATCTGTGACCTAGACTACATCTGCCTCCACGTCATCCTCTTCTTCTGCTGCCTTCGACACCGTGCACCAATAAATCCTCCTCCACAACCTCGCCTCCCATCTGAAACTACAACATTCTGTACTTGAATCGATTGGGTTTTAACTTCCATATCGTCTCCAATCTTTCTAGGGTAACCGTTATTCTTCCAGCCCCCGCACATTCTCGTGTGGTTTTCCTCGGGTTTCTAATAATAATAATAATCCTTGCATTTGATATAGCGCTTTTAACGTCAGGAAGACGTCCCAAAGCGCTTCACAGAACACACTGTAAAGTGAATTGACGGTATATTTGTGGGCGAACGCGTCAGCCAATTGCGCTCAGCAATGTCCCACAAACAGTCGTAGATTGAAAACGACCAATTTAATTATTGCTTTGGGTTTTTGGAGGGATTATTATTAGGCTTCTGTCCTCAGTTCCCTCCTCTATAGCTTCCAAATAAACCACTTGCTGACATCATCCGCAGACAAGTGGTCAACTTCCACATGTTTGGGGATGACACGTAAATCTTTCTGACAAAATGTCCTGGCTGAGAGGGAACTTTCCACAGCTGATGGTCAGCAAGACTGAGGGAATCCTGATAGGCTCGCGCTGCGTCTCCGCACCTCGGATACTGGCAGCATCAGGGTGCATTAATGTAGACTTCATCTCGCAAAGACAGTGTGGAAACGGGTTATCTTTTTCGATCAACAAATCTCGTTTCACCACCATATTCTTGTCAAGACGTGAAAAGCGCTATATCAAATGGAAGGATTATTATTATTATTAATACTCGTTCTGCCGTTTCCCACCTCCGCACCGATGCCCGATTGCGGCACTTCCTTAACCGTTAGACCACTGATTCCGAACTGCAAGCTTCCGTCACCTCAACTCACCACTGCAGCAACTCCATACTTTTCGGCCAACCCAATTATTCGCTCCACAAGCAGCAGATTATTTACAAAATGCCGCTCCTCTCTTCTCCCGCACCCAGCTCCTTCACCCCATCATGCCGAGCGTCACCCGGCACCAAAAGCGTCCCGTACTTCAGAGAATTGACTTCAAAATGCTCGGGCTTATATTCTTTTCCCTCCCTGGTCTTGCGCCCTCCTACCTTTCTGAAATGCTGACACCCTGACAAACTGATTAGGCTCAGCTTTCAGCCTTCTCCGGCCTGCTTCATGTCTCCCAGCCGAGCGACCCACTCATCGCAGGCGGAAGATGTAGCCTCTTCGCCCCCAAATTTGGCACTATCCCACGGTCTCTTTTAGTTGCTCTTTCCCTTACCTCGTTCAAGGCAACGCATGAATGAAGACACATCGTACCTTCAGCTGCCCTCTTGCAATTCTGCAATTCTTTCTCATCCAAACGCTCCCATCCCAGGCTCGGGACCTGATCCATAATTTTTTAGCACATTTTAACGTACTTCCGACGAGAAAGGCGCTTTTCAAGTGGAATTTTGTTGTTCTTGTTCACAGTCAACAGAGTTTATATAACTGTGTCTGCCAAATGCTGCATCACAATCCTGTCCATCATCTTATCTTTTTATTATAAGAGTGCTGCAATTATTAATGCAGATGTGTCTGACCAGATTTGTGCACATTACCCCAAATGTATTTTGGCGAGAGCTGTACGCAGTACTCCAGATGTGGTCTGTCCAGAGCTGTACCCTGTACTCCAGGAGTGGTGGCACACAGCAGTACTGATTGCGGGTGACGTCTGTAGCTCTCAATGTTGCGCTTTGATTATTACAGCCTCCAGTGTGGCTAATGTTCGCTGCCTCACATGTTTTGGTCATCAATAGAATCACTAGACACCCCTTGTTGTCCCGTTCAAGACCTACAGGAAAGGTTCAGCCTGCTGGTGAGACAGAGCGAGGAAGATACTGACATCCACGAACAGATGATAGAGGAGAAACGTGTAAGAGAAGAAAAGATCCGACACTTGGTGTTGGCTCTGGAGGAAGAAAGGAGAAAATCGAAGGAGGACCATGAAGCCATGGCTCTAAAACTGCATGAGCAACAATGTTCATTTGATCAAGAGTTCCAGCAGAAGTCTGCAGCGATGGAGCAAGAAATCAGAGGTGAGTCCTTTGGGAAAAATGAAAACGGATGCCTATAGGGGCGGAGAGGACTGTGGGAGTGGAAAGAACTGTGAGGCAGGTGATTTCTATGCGCGAGATTAGGTCTGTTGCGGAAGGAAATACCATTTCAAGGGTTTTTCAGCTGGCAAATATTTGATCTTATCGTATTGCTTAGGAATTTGTAACATGCCTAGCGAAAAAATGTGTTTCATTTGTAAATGTGGGAAGGTCACAGAATGCAAAGAGATAATGGTGATCAGAGACAAGGTTGGAAAAAATAGAAACAATTCTCTACCCTTCTGACCTGCTGACACTCCTATCATCCTGCCTGCACCGTTCACGTTCATTCGTCCAGCTCAGAGCACGGAAACTGCACTGGTTAAGGCCACAAATCGTATGTGGTCCATTCGTGACCAGGGCTACATCTGCCTCCACGTCCTCCTCTACATCTGCTGCTTTCGACACCGTTCACCATTTCCACCGTCATCCACAATCTCGCCTTCGTGAATCGAATGGGTCTTAACTTCCACATCGTGTCTAACTTTTCTATGCCAACAGTCCTTCTTCCATCGCCCGCACATTCTCGTGTGGTTCTCCACAGGTTTCTGACGTCGGTTCCCTCCTCTTTAACTTGCAAATGGTCCGCCTTGGTGACAGCATCCATAGACATGGGGAAACTTCCACACGTTGGCGGATGACACCGAAATCTGTCAATCATAATGTCCCAGATGAGAGATGTCTTTCTAGAGCTGAATGTCTACAAGAACAAGTCCATCCCCATTGCGCTCCGTCAGCGCCTATTCACCTCATGCTCTGGCAGCATCAACATCCACAGATGCACATTTCCTCTGACCAAGACAATCAGTCAACTAGTCGTTTTTCTCGACATTCAAATGTACTTTCTCTTCCATTTCCGTACTGTGATCCGCTCTACCTTCACATAACTACGCAACATTGCGTGACTCCGCCACTGCCTCCGTCGATATGATCCCATCACCCCATCCTCGCCTGGCTCCACTGGCTCCTATCGCTCAGATAATAGCATTCAAAATATCTATCCACACGCTCAAGGCCATCCATGGCCTTGCGCCCGGTTACGTCTCTGACCTGCTGATCCCTGATCAAACTGTCTGCACCCTGCTTTCAGCAGTTTCGGCAAATTTGTTACGTCCTACTCGATCTAACCTACCATCGGTGGCCAGAATTTCAGGCTCTCTGACCCCACTCTTTCTGAATCTCTGCCACAATCTGTTCGCTTTGCTCCTGCCCTTGCTTTGCTCAAGGTATTACTGAAGAATCCTCTTTTCCTACGTGCCTTCAGCCATCCTTCTATCTCTCTGGCCTACCTCATCCCAACCCTGCCAGCCCTAAGCTCGGGTGCTGATCCCCAACTGTTGAGCATCTAGTGACGTCCTTTAAATCTGAAAGCTGCTTGACAAAAGTCAGTTCTTTTGCTCCTTTTGGTTTCAAGGTTACCAGCTGCAACATATTCTGATAAATACTCGCTTACAATGCTCTCATTTTCGCTCCAATTCCAGTCCGTTTCATTATAATATATCCCTCCATGGCATTCGAGGTTTGGTCTGACCGCAAATGAACGCAGCAATCCAGGTGTGGTCTAACAAGAGACGTAAACAATAATCCTTGTGTTGAGTGACGTAACTGTACAGATGGAGGGTGAATTCTTGGTCTCTCAATGTTGTCATTGGGTTTTTCCAATGTGACATTCACTAAAGTGGGAAAACAGTAAACAGCGAAAATAGCGTGGACTAGAAAGCATCGCTATCTGTTGATGTCCCATGTGTCCACATCCCAGACCAACACGAAACAGACTCAAGCCAGTTTGGAACCTGGGCGTTTTGTTCGACAACGTACTGTCATTTATGCCCCATCAGACGCTCTGCCTTCCCCCGCCACCGAAATATTGCCCCACTCCGCTAATGCCTCACATCTCAGGTCGCCCAAACCCTAATCTGTCACCTAAAGACTCGACTACGGAATCGATTTCCTTGTCGGCCTCCGAGCAATTCCTTCCACAACCCAGAGAGCATCAAGCCTCACAACCCCATCACCTGAATCCTCGCTCGGCTCCAGTAGCAACCGTCACTCAGGCATTAGAATTCATAATGCCGATCAACACGCAAAAATCCCTTCAAATCCTTGCGCTCTGCTCCACTCTGACATTCCGGATCCCTTGTTAAACTTTCTGTATCCGACATCCAGCAGTCTCTACACAGTACTCCAGGTGTTTTCTGACCCGAGCTAAACGCACTGAACCACTTTTCGTCACCCAGAGATGCACAAAATGCTACACGTGCCGTGTCACAGAGCTTTACAGAATCAGGATGATTTATTAGGATCAGAATCTGAAATTCGGAAATCTGGAACAAAAAAAAGTTCTGGTGGCATCTATGAAGAAAAGAAAGCGGTTCAACGTTTCGGTTCCATGGCGTCGTCAGGACTGGGGCATGTTGGGAGAGTGAGGCTTCCAAGTGACAACAGGAAAGGCAGGGCAAGTAAGACAAAGGAGAATATGGGGGGATGATGGGTTAGATAAGTATTAATGATGCGAAACCCAGTGGGCGGGGGTGAGGGGAGAGTGGGGCTTGGGGTGGGTGGGGGGGTGGGGAATGCGTAGATTGCAAATACAGATTTCCTCTATCTCGTCCAGCCTTTTTGTTGCAATATTCCCCACTTCGTTTTCGCGCAGTACTGACGAAATGACATTTACCCGAAAGGTTGACTCACTTTCCTTTGTGCGTACCAGCTGCCTGATCTGCCGAGTGTTCCTATTGACTTCTGTTTTTATATAGGGGAATCCGGGTTGCAGGATTAGACCAGCAGAGCGCAGACGACAGGGTTGAACACTTGATCCCTTACACTGCTCTAATCCTCCTACCAGTTATTGTCGTTTAAACACAACATATGTGTGATCTGAGCAGTACTGCACACAGAACTCCAGGTGTCCACTGACCAGATTTGTACAGAGCACTCCAGGTTCGGTCTGTTTTGTCTGAATATTTGCTTCAACGGCACTTTACTGCCTCGCATTCCTTGTGTTTTAATTTTCAGGCGAACGTGAGGAAGTGGAGAGACTGAAGAGGATGGAAATCCGGCATCGTGATGAGAGGATGAGAGAGCGGAATCGTCATAGTGCAGCCAACATTGAAAACATCATTGCCAACGAGGCGAAAGACAGGATGAGGTCACGAGACAGGAACGCCAATGGTCTGATACATCTGGAGAGGAATTGTATGCCTGGAATATGGGTTCAAGTGCAAGGATACTTATGGCTTTTCATCATTGCCCTGCTACTGGGGGCCCTGATTGTCGCTGCAGTCCACATTTTCACTCAAGGTGTGAGAACTCGTAAAGTTTATATTACTTGTCAGGGATTCCAGCCTTCCCACTGCCGCCGTATCTCAAGAGATACAACTGCCTTCGGAAGGCAAGGGGATGGGGGGCTGGTAGTAGATTCACAGATCAGTAGCGGGGATGAAGGGCTACACCTGACATGGGAGGCTGCGAGGCTGTATTATTTGATCAAGATTCCAGCTACGCAGCACTCCAGTAGAAGTACGTCAAAGTTCTGCGGATTGAGGGCGAATGCTGTAATGTTGTTCAGTCCAGCCTCTGGTGTTCGCTGCCTCACCGATTAAAATACTGAGCTTCTCTTTGTTTCCCCCTTCCCAGCCCAAAACTAGAGACGAGATCTGGTGGAGAGAGCGACGGAGGAGGAGTCTCGCGCTCACGAAGAGCTGATTATGGAGAAGCATCTGAGAGAGGCAAAGATCCGAAATCTGGAAGTGGCACTGGAGGAAGGCAGAAGGAAATTCTTGGAGGAGGATAAAGCCATGGCTCGTAAGCTGCAGGAGCGGCAACGTTCACTGAGAGAAGAGTACCAGATGAAGACTGCAGCTATGGAGCGGCAGATTAAAGGTGAGGCACATCGAAGCCATGACTAACTCTGCCTTCCCCCATCTCTGTAACAGCGCCCAACTCCGCCATTACGTCACCCCTCAGGCCGCTGAAACTCTTGTTCATGCGTTCATCACCTCGAGGATCGACTGTGCAACCACCCTGCTTGTCGGCCTTCCCAATCCCCCCCCCCCCCACCTCTCCAAAGGCTGCAGATAATCCGGAATTATGCATCCCGTATCCTCTGACACACCAAACTCCGTGACGCCATCTTCCCCATTCTCCCCAACTCCATTCGCTCCCTGTCCTTCAGAGGATCCAGTTGAAAATCCGGGTGCTCACCTACAAAGCACTCAGCGGTCTTGCCACACCCTATTATTATGTCATCCTAACGCCTATCAACACACCCGTTCCCTCCATCCTCTCTCCCTCTGGCCTGCTCCACGTCCCACGACACACCCGCCCCACCATTGGCGGGAGAGCCTTCAGCCACTCTGCCCCCAACCTCTGGAATTCCATTCCCCATTCACTGCTCCTCGTCCCCTCCTTAACCTCCTTGAACTCCCGCCTCAAAACCCTCCTCTTTGACCATGACATTGGTCATCACCATTATTACTACATAGTGCAGTATGTAGTCCTCCAAGTTCTGACAAGAACTGTACCCTCAACGTCACGAAGCCATTCAGGAACCTGGGTGGCATGTTTGACCCTGAAATATCCTTTCTCCAGCACATCCTTGCTATGACTGACTCTGCCTACCACCACCTATGCACCACTGTCAGACTCCGCCACCGCCTCATCCCTCAGGCTGCTGAAAATCTCACCCACCCATGCGTCACCTCAAGGCTCGTTTATGGAAATTCCCTCCTCATCGGCCGTCGCATATGTTCCCTTCAACAGCTGCAGATAATCCAAAACACTGCAATTCGTGTATTCACAGGCCTCATTCATCCTGACCCCACCATTCCCACCTTCGCTCGACACCATTGGCTCCCTATCCCCCAGACGTCCGAGTTGAAGATTCTCGTTCTCATTTTCCAGACCTTTCAAGGCTTTGCCCTCTCCTACCTCTCTGACCTGCTGACTTCCTTCCAAAATGGCTGCTACCTACGTTCAGCAGGCTTCGCTCTTCTCCCAGAATCCAGCCTGACATCCCCTACTATTGTTGGAAAATAAAATCTTCTTTTCGAGTTCCAATCAAACACAACTACTGTTTGCAACCAGATTAGTGTCTATTAAACTCCAGGATCCGTCCAAGTTCCCGATGGGCGTGGGCAAGTAAGCACAATCAATCAATTTAATAACAGAACAATACTACCGCGTAATTCCTCCTCGTGGTCGTCTACTTCTGTCTTCTAGGTGTCAGTCTTCCATCCACGGTAGGTACTGTCCCGGGCGCGCGATCTTGGTCTGGCACGGTGTCTTAAGCTTGTGTCCATCCAATCAGGGTGCGGACATTAGGTGACTTGGCCAAAATCATGCTGGGTTCACGTGAACATCTCATGGGGTGTACGTGCCTCAGCACTCAAACACACTGTCCTTGAGACAGTCTGTTATCTCGTGTACGTGTAGGGAGTTTCAGTCCAGCTGCCCACAACACACTTAACTTAAAAGTTAACCCGTTCGCAACATCTATTATGATTCTAACATTATACAAAAAGTGTAAATTCTAACAGTCCCCACCTTGATACCGAATGAACATGAGGTATCACAAAACTACAAAAAAAAGGATATAGTATAAAATCAGGAAAATAATATAAAGTTACACAACCTGGGAGGGAGCATGGTATTTCCAGGCAACAGGGTGGATGGCAGCAACTTTGTCAGCCTCTCCATCATTCCCTACAAAGGGTACATCAGAGGAAACCACACTAGGCATAACGTTAAGAAAAATAAACTTCACAACCGTAGCAGCGCAATAAACGCAAAGCAAGATCACAACAATAATAATTAGCCCATGTAACAGTGAACTTCCAATAGAATCCATCCAAGAATTGGTCCATGCCCAAAGAGATGAAGATGGAGCCTGCTTCAATTTATCCATCTCTTTCCGGATATGATCAGTCAAGCTACTTATATTCTCGGAGTTATCCGGAATATATGTACAACACTCAGACCCAATTACGGCGCATGCACCTCCTTCTTTAGCCAACAAGAAATCTAATGCCATGCGATTTTGCAAAGCCGCTGTCCGAATAGCAACTACTTCAGCGGTAAAAGAGTCAACAGCTTCCCCTGTATCATTTGCCACCTGCTCAAGGATTTTAGCCATACTAATGCTCTCTTGGGAAAGCTTAGAATTTCCATACATGGGAAAAGCAATAGCAAAGAAACGTTCGGCCTTAGTGATGGATCTTTTGTTAATATGGTGGTCACTTAGTAACTTATAGGCATGTCTTAGACCTGGGACAACATAAGCAAGATAGCATTTCCCTGTCCAATTAAGCGGCAGCCATGGATAGGCCTCGGTTCCGCATACAAACTAAGTGTTTTTATACGTAGTAATGTTGGGTCCCAACCTCAGTGGAATCCAAACTTGGTTAAAGAAAGTACCTGTGGTGAGGTTTTTGAAACTGAGGATGGTATATGGCCAATGCCGTAGGTGGGAACACGTATCGTTACCTATCACAAATGTCTGGGCACATTTACTCTCTCCTACAATAAATCCCCCAGTGATATTACGGGAGATGCAGATCTCACCTGAAGGGGGGTTGGGAACCCTTAATGTCGGGGGTGAGAGGGTAATATCATACGGTGGTTGGTAATACCCACGGTATTCCTTTAAACTGTACCCTGCTGATTCCCATCGTTTTCGATCGTCTCCAATAGGAATTGACCAGTCACATGCAGCGGCATGGTTAACATTCGTCTGATGTTGGTTGAAATACTAAAAATGCAGTTAAGCTAACATTGCCAGGAATGACCCTTACTGGTATTCCATGTTTAACAGATGTTGGCATATTAGCGCATACATAACAACTGGACACCTGGTTATTTTGTGCATATCTATAAGCTGTTTATAAGAAAGTATTATGGGGGTAAGCATGGCAGTTCTGGATTAGTAGTATTACAACGCCAAGCACCAGGCCTCCAGTAATTCCATCCAGATCCATATTGATACAGAAGATCCGGTAATCACTCGGTTGGTGCCTGCAAATTACAAATGTAGCATATATTCAATCATCAGTTTATCCTTTTCCCTTGTTTACAGTTTTGAGTTGATTCACATGGTACCATTTAGTCAATTTAGAAGACAAAGGCATGGTAATTAAATATACTGCCGGGCTTGCCTTTTCCAAAATTTCAAAAGGCCCTTTCCATCGCGGGGCAAAAGGAGATTCCTTTTTCCCATACACGCGAACCATGACTTCATCTCCGATTTCATACTCCACATGGATAACAGTAGTGTCAAATTGTTGCTTCATACTTTGTTTCGCCTTACCAGTGTTTGTAGCCACAAACCTGTTGGTTTCCTGTATGATCTTTAACATCTCTTTCAGCCATGTCTCCTCCGCAGTTCCCTGCAATTTAACATTACCCTCTAATTGTTCGAGGGCTTGTTTAGTCATCACTACTGTACAACCTGGTAGCCTCATTAACCGACCTGTCATCGCTTGATAGGCTGAAATGCCAGTAGTAGCATGGGGGGTGGAGCGAATTGCAATTAGACACAGTGGCAATCCCTTCATCCATTGCGTGGGGTGATCTGCACAAAATTTTGACAACAAAACCTTTAATGTGCGGTTACTTCTTTCTAGTACCCCTGAGGATTGAGGATGGTATAACACATGCAATTTGTGATCAATTTCCAGCAAATCCATCAATTTGGTAAAAACTTCACCCGTGAAATGTGATCCTTGATCACTATCCAATATACCAGGGATTCCCCACCTGCAGATCACCTCAAGCAATAAAATGCGTGCAGCAGTGAGCGCTGTGTTATTTTTAGTCGGGAAAGCTTCAATCCATTTTGTAAACTTATCAATAATGACAAAACAATATTTGTAACCACCGGCAGCTGTGGACAATGGCCCAATAAAATCAATCTGAATATTGGGCCAAGGACCCGAGGGAGAGGGTGCACTCCGCAATAACGCTCGATTAGTACATCGATGGGGATTATGCTGGAGGCACACAAGGCACGTCTTACATTGTTTCCGAACGTCATGAGACAAAACAGGCTACCAGACAGAGTGCAACAACTTAGTGATGGTTTTTGAGGGACTAAATTGACCACCAGTAGGATGTGAGTGGTATAATTGAAACATCGCATCAGCACAATCTGAGGAATACATACAGTGGAGATATCGTGCTTAGAATACATGAGAACAGGGGAGGCCAGAGAGTCCAGAGGAACATACAAATGGGTGTGTATGAGCCAATCATATTGTGGCTCAGGATGGATATCAAGTCCAGCAAGTTGCTCCTGGTGCCACTGCACGGCTTCGATGTAAGGCGGGTATGAATTCTGGAGTTTAATCAAATCAGTCAAAGAGGGCGAAGTTGAGATGCTCCTCACTGAGGCAGACGGAAGAGGGGAAGAAATCCATGCTTCTCCATCAAGAGCGGACTGGCGAGCAACGACATCAGCACGATTGTTCCCGTGTGAGTGCGATCCAGTCTTTTGATGACCTGCCACCTTACCAATATACAGCGGATGGGTGCGACAGGATATCTCATCAGCCAGATATCTCAGAAGTGATGCGTGAACCAACGTCGTTCCTGCAGAGGTACAAAAATGTCGGGAAGTGTACAAGGGTAATAGTAACACAGTATTTACAACATAAGCGCTGTCGGACCATATGTTGGTAGCCATTTTGGCAGTGTGGCGTACCGCTTCAACGAGTGCGGCCAACTCAGCATATTGAGCAGAATGTGGTGTGCAGCGGAAACCAATGTCACGATCGGGGAGGATAACGGAAAAACCAGTGAAAGCCTTGCCATCAACATGAAAGGATGAGCCATCAATTTACACATTGGCGACAGAATGCACCGGGGAAGCCTCCAGCCGGGACTTGAGG